GATTTTAGATTTTTCTGAAAAAGAAGAAGAAGAACATGTAAAATGACAACATCAGACTAACTTCCAAGGCTTTAAGATAATGTACACAAATATCGTAAAACTTTTTAATACTTGGAGAAGTATCTAAACCGTGCCATTTCCTCTTGCAACTTTTAGATGGCTTTAATATTAATAAACAACAACAAAATTAAAAAATAAGTTATCAATGCTAAATTAACTTTCTGAGCCAATTTTCGAATTATTATATTCTTAATAAGTAAAACAGGAACTGTAAGCACAAACATCTTCACTTTGTAGGGTTTCTGAGCAGCATTTTTTGCTTGTTATAAAGTAGAGGACATAATGGATTCCTATTCTACGATAAGGGTTATTAAAAATACATAAGTAAATGCCTTGTAAACTTGAACTTGTTTAACGACCACAAAGGACACAAATCCTTGCCCAAATAAACCTGAAAAATGCAACGCAAGCGCTTTTAAGAAGCAAAACACATAAGGTGAATAAGGCCATTAAATATTCTCTTATTTGATGTCTCTTGTTTTGTGTTGACGTTTTTTTTTTTTTTTTTAATTTTTTTATTTTTTCTTTTTTTAACCAACTTGTATGCACTCTTATCTAACGCCTCTCATCCTCTCTACGTGTGTGCAAAATTATTTCAATCTTGGTCACGGTTACTATACTATACTAAGATTGTGGTAGGGGGCTATTATTCACACACAAACGCACAATCACCCACTAGTTAAACAGAAGCTAATGAATAACGAAACGTGTAAATGTATTTTGCAAACATTTACATTTTGTTCACTGAAAAATTTGGGTCAAATTCAAATACACAAAAGAAGTCATTGCAAAAATGTACCAGCGTCATAATTGATGGCAAAAGAATAAAGCATTTGATTTCGTTGCTGCTAAGCAATTCTAATTGCAAAGATTAAATTTAGCAAGACTACAATCAAGCTATAAACTTGGGCAGACTTCTATTTCAAAATGATTTCTTATCTTTTCGCTACTGATTATAATTATAAGTAATAAACAGTTGTAAATCGAGCTTTGCAAGTCATCCGACTGTATCCACGAGTTGCATAAAGAATTCTTCTATCGCCAAAATCGCCGTATTACTATACATTTATGTTTTTATTTAAAATATTCGCTTAGAAGTAACAAATATTAATAGATCCTCGAAGTAGGCATTAAAAAAATCTCTATATTTCTAATCAGTTGCAATCGTATTGTAACATTACCCATTAATTCCACAAAAGTGCACATTATTTCCACAAATAGGAAATGCTTGAATTACTCTCTTTAACTGTTGAAAGAATTTTATTGTTTATTTAAGGGTAATTCAAATATCCATTCGTTTGGGTCAGAAAGTTGAAATTCATAAATTTCCTTTAATCAATTTATATTTACACACAAATCTACGTTATCGATGTAATGTTTTCATTCAATATAAAGATTCGTCCATTTAGAATTCTTTGCATCGCAAAAGGTAATTCCCAAGTTCGATATTTAATTTATACAAAGTCCACTTGTATTTATAATGCTTTATATTTGCAAATTCTGTCAAAGCTTTTTTCTAACAAATAAATTGGCCTATGTTTGTGTCTTTAATTTCTAGTCGAATAAAAAATACCAAAAGTATACAGACACACGGACGTATTCACTATTCATGTAAAGGTAAAAGTCCAGATTTAATAGGAATGAACTCAATGCAGAAAGCGACGGTGAGGAAGAGTAACAGACACATGGCACGTAAAAAGACATCAAAGTATACAGATAGTAGAGAGTAATCTTTGCGACTACCAGCTAAGCAGTTAAAAACACCAACAACAACAACGACATATACACATGCGCCCAATAAGATAATGTAAAACACACAATACATTATAAAAATTTTGCATCTTAACAAGCAAACCACAAGAAAAATACTATTTGATTGAAATTCAAGGAATATGATTAAATAATTAGTATAACACTAACCTTTAATAAAAAGTTTAATTAATATCTGGTGATATAGATAAGTTAGAAATTAATTAATTAACACAACGCGAATGCGAAACGAAATGGAAACTTTTCTGCGAAAACAATCGGAGAACACTGATTATAGATTAATAATTAGCAGAAAATATTTCAACTGAAATTTCACTAAATTCTTATGAATATTTCCTTTCGTAAATTGCACAAAAACTGAGAATGATTTTCTCAGCTTAAAATTTTTCACAAACAATATTACCTCTGCTTCTTTTCCCACTAGCAAATCTGAGTATGCACGGCAATCTAATAGCACAAGCCCTGATTCTGGCACTGATGCCAAGTTGTGGTATATTAAATGGTGCTTTCACAGCTGAGAATATAAATTAGGTCCTTCCCACATAAAAGCTTTGCATGCTTATTAGGCTTTTGCAATTTAAAGTATATTAAAACCAACGCACATGTATGCACACAGAAATAGTATGAAAAGTTCCTCAACATTTTACTAAGATTCATAGTTTGTAAACAAACAAACAAAAATCTGCACACCACTTTTTATAAAGAAGAAGAAAAAAGATATGGGCATTATTTATTTCAATGGAAAAATACAATTTCTAATATGCTCTTTTAAAATAGTATTATTTAATATCTTATATTATTTTTATTTATGTAAACTAATGTTTTTTCATTCCATTTGTCTCTTCAATCCTCATGTCATTTGTTTACATTTAAGTTGATTTCTTTATCTTTACTAAGTGCGGTTTAGAAAGTCTAGCAAGTGCCCAAATATTTGATGTAGTAAGGTAATTACACACTGGTAAGATATGAGAATAAATTAAAATGTTTTTTTAAAAAATCATTTTAAACATTGTCTAACTTTCCTTATAAACACATCATGCAAAAAACTTTTTATATGTTTGAATCCGCATATTGGTTTTGACGTTCGCAAATGTCAGCTAAAACGAAATAATAAAAACATTATAGACGACATAATATTGGAAGTTTTTGGCAAATATATAAAAGAAATTTAATGTAATTCTTAAATTAAAGAAATCTTTAGCAAAAAATATAAAATTTGTTTATAACGAAATAAATTATAAGTATTTTTTTATTACTTTTTTTATTAGTTCAGTGAAATTAACGACAAAAATACGATTATTGTGGATTGGAAGGAAAAAAATTTTTAAGAAAAATGGATGATAAATTATGGTACGTTTGTATTATAGAATGCAAACTTTTTATGACGTCTTCAGATTTCATGAAAGTTATTGGAATAATATTGACATTTGGATTGTCCCATTTTCGATGGTTTGCTTTGTTTGTTTAGGGTCATCGAATTGGAATCGGCTTTGTTAGACGATTGCAACGTCAATGATATTTACAGTATTTGTCAAGGAAAATCCCTGCCGGAAGCTCTAAGGCCTGATGTTTGGCAAGTTTGTCTGGATGTTCGCAATAAAAACGATCAAATGTGCTTATTTAACGAAATCTATGACCTGCCATTTCAAAACAAATTACGGGAAGATTGCCAAACAGTAGTGGAACGAATAGGCAACGATGATGAGGATAAGGTCTCGGTATTATCAGATTTGGAATCTATTTTAACTTTTTATTGCAAAAATCGAAACCTTCAGTATGAAAGCGACAATGGCTGGATAGAACTGCTGCTCCCATTGCTGGCACTTAAATTGAAACGCTCAGATACATACAACTTGTTCGAATCTATTCGTGATACCTATGTACCCAAAGGTTGCAAGCCGAAGGGAAATGTATTTCACGTCTTCCGTTTACTGATATTATACCATGATCCTGAATTGTGCACTATGTTGGATACAAAGAAAATATCCCCTGACTTATATTCTCAGCAATGGTTCCAATGCTTATTTGCCTCGAGTTGCAGCTTATCAGTTATACTGGCTATGTGGGACTTATATTTTCAACATGCCGATCCATTTTTAGTATTCTTTTTAGGTTTAATCATTTTGATTAATGGACGCGATCAGATTTTGAATATGAAAAATTCCAGCAAACAAGAAATTATTCATTTTCTTACAAATATGCCATGTGCTTTGGAAACGGATGACGTAGTAGATTTTTGTTCATTGGCCCAATATTATTCAATAAAGACTCCGAGTTCGTTTAAAACCGATTTTCTGAAAGCATTATATGGCAAACAAAGTGAGAAAGGAGTAAACGAGGAACCGTGTTCTGTATCACAGGTTGGTTATATTGAATGTAAATGTTGACCTATCTGTATTCTTAATTCGATAAATTTCAGGCTCTTTGCCTACCTGTTTCAGTATATGAATTGGTCGAAAATACTTCTTTAGAGATTTGCTCGGCCGATGCGGTACGTTTCTTCCTGGTGGATTGTCGCCCGGCGGATCAATATAATGCTGGTCATTTATCTACAGCGTTTCATTTGGATTGTAATTTAATGTTACAAGAACCTGTAGCTTTTGTGACCGCGGTTCAAGGCTTACTAACGGCTCAGCGTCATGCAATTGAAGCGAATTCTAGTGCCGGGGGAGAGCATCTTTGTTTTATGGGTAGTGGTCGTATGGAAGAAGATCAATATACCCACATGGTAGTCGCATCGTTTTTGCAGAAAAATACCCAATATGTTTCTCTCTTAACGGGTGGCTACGGTTCGATACATAACTATTTTGGGGATCATATTGGCGATTGCCTGGAGGAACATGATCCAAAAATGTGCTTAATTTGCTTTAAAAATCAACCAAAGGAGAAAATTGCTCAGCAATCTAACAAGAGACCAACTAAAACTGGCACTACGACAGATCTGTTTGCAAAATTTTCAAGTGTTATGAAGCTCAAGTCGGCCGAAGTGAAAGATAAGCTTATGGATATTATTGTAAATCCCTCCAATAATACGGCGAACGCTTCGACGATGGTCGGTAATTCGCATCAGTACACGCAAGACCGGCATGTCTCAGCTTCAGAACGTAATGGCAAACGTTATCGTAATGTAGCACCAGTTTTTAGCATCGACGACGAAGGCGATTATAGCGATCCTTTGGAAAGTAAAACTCTGTTAAATGACGATAAAAATAAGATGTCCGGTGATGACCAAGAGGTCGTTACGCTTAACAACTATTTAAAATCGCCCGATATTATAAACGCTTTCAAATGCCAGGAAGTGCATATGAATGGGTATATGTACGATTCCCACTTGATTATAACCCCATCGCATTTATTAGTTCTGCGGGAATTAGGCCGTGGTCAAGCTCAGATTATGGTACGTCGTCCTTTGGCAAGTATTGTTAAGATTACTGCAAAGAAAAGACATCGCGATTTAATTACATTTAAATATGGATTTCCCGAGGGTGACAATTTGCTTATAACCGATATGGATCGCTTCCTTATACCAAATGCGAGTGAAGCAACAGCTATGGTATCCAAATATATTGTGCAAACATTGGATGGCAGTAAATTAACGTAATCTTAAGTCAATTAACATTTAATCAGAATGTAAAACAAAGCATGTATCTAATTGAAGTCTATTCCTTTCGCCCTTTCCTGATCTTTGTTTAACTTGATGGTTTTTGATTTCTATCTTCTTCTCTTCAATTTTTATGCTGGACTTTAAAGTTCAATTGTGTACGCTACTGCAACCAGCGAAGTTAGTTTTACCCTTTTCTAAGCGTACACATGTAAGCATACAGATCCAAACATACGTACAACTTAAGAAAAGATTTTAAATTGTCAAAAATTGAAGAGAAGATAGGTTTACGTGGACAAATATTTAAATAATAATTAAATCAGTCCCTTATCTTAAGCGTAAACCAAGAGATGATTAAATGATAGCTTTAGAATTTTATTTTCCCTAATATGATTTGTTTTCTTGTTTTGTTTTTTGTTTGATGATGCCGATAATGATGATGATATATTCTCCGCATATTTGATATACTTAGATATCCCATTTATCAATGAAATGAATCTAACCGTGATAATAACAATAATTTAATAACTCTTTCCTGAAAACCATTAGATTTAGCATACAAATGGAAACTTAATGTAGAAATGTAGTGAAATAAATATTCCTAATTCATGTCTATTTTACAATTTATTTTAATTTAGTTAGGAAAGCGTGACAGAGCATTTTTGCATAATAATCAATTTCAGTACATCTAGCTAATGAAATAATAGTTCACACCTGTCATAAGTGTAGGTAAATAAAAAACTTAACTACTACTCAACAGCCTCATATGAACCAATGTGGCGGTAATGTCAACAAGTCCATCTCATTAGCGCTTATTTTAACGGGAGTCTGAAAAGTCTTAATGATATGAAAATCATCGAATTAAATCACCCGATAGGACTAGATTTTATCGAACTGAGTTATATATAAGTTTGTATTATCCACTTGTAAAAATGAACACGGGATTAATAATATAAAATCAAGGCGGCTATCTGTAAGAATTCCTGAAAAGACGAACACTCCATCAAACATTCGAAGAATTTTACAAGTAAAGAAGTGAATGAACTTGTCATCCATTAAATCTTAAATCGTTTGAGGGAACTTTTACTTGACCTAGGTATATTTTTTCAGGACTTGGAACGCCTATTTGATCAAGGTGTACTTAGGGCAATTTTTAATGGTCTTAAAGGAATTGTTTTCGGACCTAGGCGGTGCTTTCGTAGGATTTCGAAGTACTTTTCGAAGGCTTAACAATGGGTACTACTTAAGTTCTTAGGGGAACTTTCATTGGTCTTAAGGGGCTATTTTTATTGAGCTTGAGGGCGAACTTTTCTTGCACACAGGAGAACTTTTTTTGGACTTAGGGATACTTTTTTAAAACTCAGGGGCGAGTACTTTTATTAGACTTAGGGATACTTTTTAAGGATTAAGGGGCGGGTACTTTTATTGGTCTTTTATTTGATTTAGGGATAGTTTTTTGAGACTTAGAGAAACTTTTATTGGTCTTACGAGTGCTTCCTTTGTGCACTTGTAAAATGACTTTGATATCTCGATAAAACCCATTAGCAAGTTTTTTCCTTACAAGGTTTAAAAAAACAAGCACCATTTGTTGGGAATGAAGAGAGCACAGGGTTGCTTTCATTAAATTGCAACGCTTCGAATAAGGCTGAATGCTGTTAAAGTGGTACAAATTGGGGCCGCAAATCCATTAAAGCGTAAAGTAAACCCAATTGCGCAAAATTAATCCAAAAACTCTAAAATGTAATTTAACTCTTCAAAAACTTTATTTTCTTATAGAATAATTTATTACTCTCTATATTTTACTTTAAGAATTTGTGCTTCTTTTGCAAATTTACTTAGATTTCGTCTCGGTTTCCTTAATTTCGTCCAACAACTCTCTATCCATTCCTCCCGGCAGCACAATTTGATATTTTCGATGTTTTCTTAGAATGTAGGGTACTTATATTACATTATTGAATTTACAGGAACTTTTACTGGGTATTAAAGTTTATATTAGAAAATTATTCCTTAAAAAAAGAAAAAGTTACATAAGCTCGTTGCAATCGTTCGAGCATTGAAAAAAATTGTGATAAGTGAAAGCAAGAAGTGTATATATGTATCGTTATTTTAACCAAGCGTTAATTAATTTTGTCTCGGAATGCTCGCAGAAGGATAAGTCTTTCTATAAGCATTTGGAGCTAGCGAGTCTGCGGCAGATGCAGAGCCTTCTTCACGTGATAAAAAAAAAAATAGTTCAATATTTTCGTTACGTTGCTTGCTACCTATGAGAAATCGTCTTGACACTTTTCCAGTAAGAAATTTATTACCACCTAAAATGCTTAAAAACTTTATTTAACAGAAAGGACAACAAGCAAAAAAATTATATTCAGCAGTCTTTTCTTTTAAGAAAAGAAACGGCGACTTTTAATGTTTTGATAAATGATTTATAAAAATTTTTATGCAGACACTGGAGAACCATCTATTGAAAATACATTCCATTTCTTGTCTTGTCACACAAACAGGCAAGCACATGGACTCCATTGCAGTCGATTAGGTACTTTATAGGTACTGAAACATTTTTCTTCGTCTTGCAAACGTCTTGAGACAATGAACATACTCTTATTCCTCGGTGGTAAGTCTAAATAATTCAAGATATTATAGCAGGGCAAGATCGGCTTTTAGATACCATACATCACATCGCCTCCATACACAAAAATATCGAATAATATACCAAAGGAGCATTTTCCATTTGAACAATTAAATGGGAACGGTCCCAAAACGTCAACTGGCTAAGTGCAGCCTTGAAAATTAATTAAATTTTTTTTGCTAAAGATATTCATCTATTTTTGTCACGAAGTGAGAAAAAGTAGCTTCATTGCCATTAAAGGATTTACTTTTTTTAAGAATCCGTATAGAGTAGAGTAGAAACGACAAAATAGACCAACGTAGTACAAATTTATGTTCTTATGTCAAATTTTTGTCATGGATTGATTTTTAACATGGAATAATAAAAATTATACCCTTCTGCCATTTAAAAACTTACTTTTCGTAAAAATGGTTAGATAGTTAGATTTAAAACGTAACCAAGATTTGGTCGAGTCAATATTTATGTCAAATTTCTATTATATATTAGTTTTTAGCAGAAAATATCGAAAATTAAACTCTTTTGCCATAAAAAGTTTGCAAGTTCTTGGGCCCTCCCATATAATATAATTTTGTGCAGATTTTAATTGAGAATATTTGTCGGTACATTAAATATTATATTAGGCGATAGAAGCTGCAAAAGCTATCATGAAAGTAAAGATCAAAATTGATGTATTTATCTCAATTCTTTGAATTTCCAAAGATCTGGCAGTAGGCTGTTTGTCCGCTTTTATGGAATCTACTATAAGCAGAAAAGCATTCCCAATAATTTTTTTGCACTTCCCTTAATACGAAGGGATATGGAATTTCACTTAAAACAGAATTAAGAAAAATGCAACCATGTAGATAGTAATCACTCGTTTTGGCAAAATTCAATTATCATTCTATACCTCTTATATGTTCTTCAAGTATTAGCGTAACTTCATTTCTGAAGTCTGCGTTTAGAAACGACACAGCGTAACTCGCTTTCTGCTCCGTTTGAATGCAATAAAAAAACTTTGTTAAACGGAAAGCACGTAGTAAATATGACACATTTTGAGTTCCAAGTTTGCTTTTTACTATAAATCATAATTACAAGCTTAAAAAAAAAAACTTTCTCCTTCTATACCTTCGTTTTCGTCATAGTTATCACTATTGCGAGCCGAGCCGAGATGCAGTTAAGACTTTCGAACTAAAGGGCTATTTTACGAAGGAAATCATGATTTTTGCATGTTAGAAAAGAAAACAGCTGTAGAATGCATAGAAAGAATGCGTGCCAGTTGAATTCGAAAGGAAAACAGCTATAGAATGTATTATAGAATATAAATGAATACGACGTGTGCAAGGGACTCTAATAGTCAACGAACCGCCGTCGAAATTCCTTCACTACGGTAGCCTCATTTATAATATGGTCAAAGGCCGGAAATATATAGTCAATGAATTGAATTTCTGCAATAGCGGTTTCTCCTGCATTAGCGACTCTGGTCCCAGCGGACCCAGCTATACTTTGTTCGCAAAGAGGGGTACCAAATACCCAATCTTGTCCAATACTTGTCCGTCAGATTAATGGAGCAACAAAAAACCCCAACAAAGCCTACATCTTCGCCAAATGGTAATGCCGGACCTTCCCCTAATGCTATATCCATGGCGTTATTGATGGCTTGAAACATATTCATCTTTTGCTCATTTTTAGCTGGCGTATAAGTAACTATGTAAACTGAGATGTTCTGATCACCGACTTATTGGTTTTTACAAAACTAAATAAATACCGAGTGTGTCTGTTCATTATATATTTGATTCTTTTTCAACAAACAATTTAAATAAATAATAAAATATAACAAAGCAAAACAAAAGTAATGGAAATTAATGTCGTGGTATTGCAAGAGATCGAAAGATTCATATAACAATATGGTGAGATCTCGGAAAGCCCCAGCTATTGGTGCCAGCATGTATGATATCCAAATCAATGTAAAACTGCTGTTTTGGCAAAGTTGTAGGCCAATTGATATTTTTCAAATCACTTTCAAGACAGGAGCGAAATAACAAACACATCTCCTGCGAAGCCCGAATAGTAAAAGCGAATGTAGTGCGTGTCACTCTCTTCCGTTCGTTGCCATCATTCCCATACACATATACTTCATCCGAACTTTCGCAAACACGCCTAAAAATAGAGTTTGACCATCAAATTGCTAGTAGCACGTGATTGCCACCTCACCTAAATGATTGACCAGCAATGTTGAAGAATAACATGCAGGAGAGCATATTAAAAAGATTACGATGGCTACTCCGTTGATCAGGCGAACGCATCCATAGAGCGCCCAACCACGGTCCTTTCAAATCCACAATAACTTGCCACTTGTGAAAATTAGTATCCGATAGGGTAATAGAGACCTTCTTGAATGCCTATCAAAACAAATATGATGAATAGCTGAGTTAATGTTTTGATGATGATGACTTACCTTAAAAAAATTCATCATTGCCATGCTGTGCAGTAATCGGCATTTTTGCATGTCGAAAGAATCGAACTGCCTCTCGATGGAATCGAAAAAACGCAATAAGCATTTAGCAAGTTTTTCATCGCACACTTTTTTGATCGGATTATGGAAAAGTATCGGTAAAAAGCAGCTGCTAAATATCCGCTCAAAACCCGACCTTAGATACACTTCTGTCGATTGTTGAATAGTCTGTATCCACAGTGCCAAATTAAATAAACAAAGAAGCGTGTCTCACTATTCCATTCCTTACTGTTACCTTGAAGACTGCGTGCATGCTGCAGTTGCATCTTGTAAGATTCCACACTTCTGCCCATTGTTGATTCTGTCTGTTGATTGCCTGTATCCACAGTGCGAAATTAAATAAACAAAGAAGCGTGTCTCTCTATTCCATTCCTTACTGTTACCTTGAAGACTGCATGCGTGGTGCAGTTGCATGTTGTATGATTCCAGAAATTCTTGCGAAATATATGCACAATGATCAGATCGCTGATGTCCCGTAAACGTCTCGAAGTGGCACGAACGCTTTTGTGATTGTTTATATCTAAATAACCGATAATCTTCGCTAGCATTTCTGTAGGCAATTCACAAATATTTAAAGATACACTCGTTTTGTGAATGCGCGACGACTTCAATTGTCGTTCATGTCCGGATGTGGCTCGACGTCTTTTCATATTGTAGAAATATTTGGTTAAAAATAGATTTTGTATCGCAGAGAAAATTTGCAAATAATATCAATCCGATTTTGCCTACGAAGTAAGATATTTTACAGTGACGTGTCCTTTTTTGACAGATATTGAAAAGAATCGGATATAAATTTGAAAAAAAAAAAAAAAAAAAAACAATATTTCTTTAGCCAAAATATCATACGGATATGACAGAAAATGGTATGCTTCAAAATTCATATATTTGAATTTAAATTACGATAAGGTGAGACGAAGGTATATAAGGCATAGCAAAGTGAAGTACGATATATTGAATCAAAGTCTTTATCGAAAATTTGTAACAAAATATTCGAATCGATATTGGGGAAAAAGTTACATCTGCAGAATCCATTCCTCGTTTCCAGATTTTGTTTGTTTTAACATTTCAAACGCATGGTCGTTAAAGCTTACAAGGCTCAATAATATTTCCTGGACATATCAAAATTTGCGCAAATCTACGATAAAAATGAAAATCGTTACGTTTTTTTTTTTGTTTTTCACTATCACAATTACAAAGTGGATGGAGTCTACAACGTTATATAAAAAAAGGACATTTTAAAACAATGCTCCTGAAGATCCGCGACAATTGATGCGGTAATAATATTAATTATATCCACACCCTAAGGAAGGTGAAGTTTGTTTATACAGTTCCTAAGCTTATTACAAGTTACTTGCGCGCCCTGTATTAAGAGACTGTCGTAAGTGTCGTAAGATTTTGTTACGAAAGTGAATATAAAATTTCTTTGTTAAAATTTTAATCTTCAAAAATGTTCGCTGCTCTTGTCGCCCTGAGTTTTGCACTACTATGGCGCCAAATTTGGCCGACTACATAATTCGGGAGTATTTCCTATTTGGACAAATCAGTTAGGCAGTTAGGAAAGGTAAATTAGCTTAATGTCGCTACTATTTTGTGCATTTCTCTTTCGTAGTTATGCTTGCATCCAACCCACTTACCGCTTTAAGTAAATGTGAACACTCTATGCTATTTGCTTTTTATTGGCTTACTCCATCTCCACTCAACAACCCAACAAAAAAAAAAAAATTCTATTTGTGCTACTAAATTTGTGCGGGTGTATCTAACATCAAAGAGGGCTTAAGAAGCGCTTTCACCGAAGTTTGATTAACTGGTTTTTCGACCACTTCTCATGTAACGAAAACCATTGAAACTTGCAATCTTTGGTATGAAAAATTTGATTCGGCTGGGGCAACTCTTTGAAAATCTTCTGCCTGCCATATAACCGTTCCTACAAAAACTGAATCTTTATATGGTAAAAGGATATAATTTTCAATACTTCAAATGTCATGGGAAAAAATTCAACCTTATCGAATTTAGCCTATGTAGGTATGGTTTTTGACTACCATTGACTACCATCGCATATAAGGATTTTTAGGAGAAGTAAAGTCTAAGCCTTTATGATGAAAATTGATTCATAGCATTTTACATAGTATTTTGGAAAAAAATTAATTAATGGATTTTGAATTACCAAGCTCTATTTTCTGAGCCCTAACATATATCAGCACGCAAGCAAATCTTTATATGGAGAGTAAGTCAAATTCCTGGTTTTTTATGATGGAAAAGTAAATTAAATTTGCTAAACTTGGATCTTGCCATATGATGTCTTCGCCGAAAATATTACGTAATCTTTGGTTAATTAATACCAACATGAGTGAATAACTGCATTAGTGAAGCGATATAGCGTGCCTTATGTTCGGCCTCGCCCGACTATAATGTTGCTCGTGTTTGTAAAATATTAACATTTAGTGGAGCTAAAGTTAGGTATATGTATAAATATGTATGCACATAAGAGATGTAACTGTTTTGCACCAACTAAAAATCAGTTGCTTTGCCTGCGATCCAACATAATCCTCTTTAAGAGGAAATATCGCATTACACTTTTCATGTGCTTTTATTAGTCTTAAATCCTTCGTTAATAATTAAAAAATGATATTGAATAAAAATCGTGTTGAATTCATAGAAATGTTCAAAGTCATGAATCCGATTGAATGGTTTAGGTAAGGATGATCAGTGGCAAAGCAAAGATTTCGAAAGTAGTTTTTCAAAGCTAAGCCTCTCTGCTCCACACTCTCACTTCAATTTTTACCTCATTGTCTTGAGATGTTCATCGCTTCGTAAGAACTGAGTATAGGGCAACGTTTTGGATAAATTATAATTTATTTTTTTGGAATTTTTCCCAAAAAAAAACAAAGGAAAATTCTATTCGATACCACTTTTCTAACATAAATTTTTCGAACGAATTTCCTGATGCTTACTGTACTTGGAGTCATATTTTCGGAAGGTTTCCATTTTTCTTCCAAATTTTTATTTGTATCGGTAGAGTAGAAACGGTCAAGGAACTAAGGGCATCGTTTAATAAAAGCAGCCACGACCCTGGTATTAAAAAATCTCACAATAATTTCGTTATTTATTAAGTGTACAAAAAAGTTGTGTCACTTGATATTACATACTTAACACGTTCAATTTTCCCGAGTTTTCAGATATAGATGGCATAGATGTACGTGCGTGGACGGTATAGATTGCGGTTGCTTAAAAGACGTCGATCAATGCTTGTCAAAGTATAAAAAGGTTGAGCTCATTTATGGTGTTTGGGTTTCCTGTGTGTGTGTGTGTGTGTGTGTGTGTGGATATTTTCAAGACTCAAACATATTCGAGAATTCGCCTTGGCCGTAAAATTGGAACTCCACCAATGGATCTTAGAGAAGTCTTCCTCCCCAATCTGCAATTGTGGACAAATTCTCACTATAAAGCACATTATCTCAGTGACTGCCTTAACTTTTCCTGGGCTAGAAGTATTGCATTTGGAGCGACAATGGACATTCTACGAGTTACAGAACAGAATATCAATACAATTTATTACTTTATTAAAAGTCTTAGCCTCAATATCTGATGTACTTTTATAAGTTAGAGCCGATAGCCTATGTTGCTAGTACTCAATGTCTTTTACTTTTAATTTAAGAAATTATTTCATTAGTCTAAAATAATAATAATAATATTATTGAAAACATTACCGCACGTGAGATTTGAATCCGCGACCATTGGATTATACACTTTATGATACTTTTCACTCACTTATATACGTCATGTCAATAGTTATAGCGCCATTTGTTTATGTTTTGTGATTATTTTTTAAAAAAGAAAAGAATTTAAAATATTTATCATTTTGCCCAATAGGATGATTTTTGTTTTCGTCAACTGTAAATCATTGTTTCAAAAGAAATAATGTATGTGTGTATGTACGTAAATGAGTTTAGTTAAATATTGCTCAGAAAGAGAATTTAGCGAATAATGGCAAACGGGAACATCGTCTATATAAAAATGTTGCTTGCTTCGTTTATAATTGTCGATCGATTATAAAGTGCTTTAAAGCTTCTATAAAATTATTAACGGTCAACATACTTTAACTTTTTACCCGAATCATTTGAGGTCTACCATAAAAGCTTAGAAGCTTCACCGAACTGCGCATGTGATTGAAACAAAGAAATAAAAAATTAAATTAAAAAAAAAAAAAAACAAATAAAATAAAATAAAACAGCAACAATTCTTTAAAATCTTGCAGCAATGACTTTTGTTTTGTTTTTGTTGCTATTATTATTATTGTTGTTGTTGTTGTTGTTTTGTATTTTTTAGAGAAATAAACATATGGACGATGAACTCGGCAACGAATACATTCACGCAAAATCGAAAAAAGGATAAAACTTAAGCGGTAAACATGACAATAAACAACAACACACCAACTAAGTAAGTAACTATGGTAGTCGTAAATATATATCTCTATGAAAGAGATGTTAATGACGTAGTTACCAAGTAGACAGAATCAGTTTTTTGACTGTTGTTGTTGTATATGACAAGTAATGCTTAGCAGGCTCAGTATGCTAGCCCAATAAAGAAAGATGTGGTATGTGTACGAACAACTGCCCGAGTAAAATGTATGCGTTTTTTTTGTTTTTTGTTTTTTTTTTTTAAAACAAAACCAAGAGGTAAAGAAGAAACAAAATACCGACTATAAAATATAGTTGAGGAGTAAATGCCATAAAAACTGTTGCTTTTCGTCGATTGCTTGCAGTTCATTTAGAGCTCTGGTATTGAAAACAAGTATTCAATAAAGTTTTAAAAAAAAAGTGAATTAATTTTAATAATAATTGCAAATTTATAAAGGCACAGAATTTACTTGAAATCGATACGAAATAAACATTAAGTGTTTACTTAATTTACAATTAAAATAAAATGCAAAACTATCTGCATTCAGCTGTAACGACAACAATCCTTACAATGATGGTATTGATATATTTAATGACACTCCTTTTCGCAACTGTTGCTGCTGTACCAGTCTCGGTTATGGTGGAAAACTCTGAATTATCCTCAGCCTCCAATGCTCAGCAATTACAAGATCGTCAAGTGCATAATAATAAGGACAATTATAGTGGTAAAAATGAGGTCCTATACAGTAAAGGTAAGTTAATAAGTTATTATTAATTAGCAACATTGTTGGAACTATTCTCATTAAAAGTGTCAAAGTGCTTATTGAAGCACTAAGCATTTTCTTATTATCAAGAAAATTTATTTCTTATTCATAATTACGTGCTTAATGAGTACATATTGTTTATCTACGTAGTAATAACACAGTAGTGTAAGTCTTTTCTGAGAAAATTTTGTGAAAAGTAAAAGAAACATACAACTACATCTATTATATATATGTATAAGAATTATGAAGTTTTAATTGATGATATTTTCTCAACATATAAATGATAAGAATATTTGATTTGCAATCAATGCGAGAGAAAAAAAAAAAAAAAAAAAACCCGTAAAGTATTCTTCCAAAAATGTTGACACGAAAACCAAATAAGAATTCCTGGGCAATTTGTTAACTTTGAAAAGGTCAAAAGTTCATGTTAGATGCTTTGACTTATGACAAAACACTCTCGGCGACAATGCTGATGAGATGTACAATAGAATCAAGTTGTCTTATTGGGCAGTTGATAGAATGATTTTCTGGCGGGCTCCGTTTCTCGAATATTAAATTCTTATCGCGTATTTCTTCTTCTTCTTCTACGTTTTATGTTTTCAAACTTTAACAGAAACGGAGGTCAGCTTTTGACAAGTGCAGAAAGAACTTGTACGAGGTGAACAATTGCGCAAAAAAAAAAAAAAAAAAAATTAAAAATTATAAAAATATCGAAAGAAAATTTTTGCAAAGTGAACAGATGTTTAGCTGCGTTAATGTTTTCGTTTTTAAAAATAAAAATTTTCCAAAAAGAATAATAAAAGGACTAAGTAAAGGAGTAATTTACTCACTAAAATGTCTTTATATGAAGTTACGATATTGCTATAGAGTTACGAAAATTGCTATAGAATTCAAAATTAACGTACATTGGAACTACGTTCGTTATAAGATAAAGAAAATAAACCATTGATAAAATTTACGTTAAGATGGACATTCAACAGTTAATTTGATAACAGATAACCTTGTATTGAAGATAAGATTTCGCAATATATTCTATGCTATGCCTTACGAGAGGTAGATAGATTCGATTGAAAGTGAATCGTAAACGTCTACTGCGACTTGTTGTTTATTAAATATATAAATAAATCGCAAGCTGCTTATAACAGCACAGATCTGAAATTTACACAAATCTTTGACCCTTTCGAGCCTTTATTGCCTTATCAGGCCTATTTAAATTAGTATTTAGGCTCCACAACGCTTGCACTTCAGTGGCGGATGTATGTAACAACTTGAAGGACTTGAGACAAGTTCATCCTTCAATCAGTTAATTGTGCATGGCGAATATATACGTGCGGATGTGTGCAATAACTTGAAGGGCTTGACATAAGTTAACTGTGCATGATGAATATACATCCGTTCGTCCTTGAGGACGAATGTCTACTTGCCGTAATAATGTATTTTTGAAAATAAATTTTTTCATTTCGATAACAGATGAAGGATAAGATAATCCTTGTTAAGGCAATTAGTTTTATCAAATTTGGACCACATAACCTCACATTTTGGGCTTTACGCTATTTGTGTTATTTTGTTATGAATTTTGAATGGAAAAATTGTTCTATGCAAAGTCATGCAAGATATTTAATGGCTTGCCCTGGTTATGTGTTACATGTTCTGAATACTCTGAAAGGTAGAACTCAAGTCTAAAGCTAATCAAGGGTATATTGGAGGTTATATTATATTGCCGATATTTAGACTATATGTGCCTGCAACAATTCATAGTAAATAAGTGAAGTTTCGATAATATATGCGGAAATGGTTAAGTTGACTTGAAGAGAATATGGAGTCAACTATGAAACCGTTAGAAAGTAAAAAAATCCTTTCGTGCCAAAAATTGTAATATTGAAAAGTATCAAAATTTATTGAACAAAAGCATTCTAGAAAGTGACGTTTAAACTAGACTGCAAACATCTCCCGACTGCTGCGTATTTTCCAAACCTGTCTCTTTTTGATTAACACTGGTTTACACCGTTGCAGTCATGTTTGGCTGACCGAAGGCTCGGCATACTTGCCGATGCGTTAAAAAGGGGCCAAGACTACTACGAAGTCTGTACCGCGACGTAACGCGCGAGCGCATGATACTTGATAAAGCTTAATTTCGCCAGAAAAATTCTCCCTTTCAACTTATACACCTAATAACCGATTATTATACTCTACATCACTTAAGGAACAAGGGTAATATTAATTTTATGCGTATGCATGCAACATCCAGAAGGACTTGAGGTAGATACATCTTTTATTATACGTAGCTAAGCTTGTCTGCCCTTCCGTCCGCCTTGTTTTCTTGTGTTCTATCTATAGACCGCAAATTTTTGAGATATTTTGATGAAATTTGGTACACTGGCCAATGTTTTGGCCCAAGGACGTACGGTATTGAAACTGACCAGTTTTTCGACTTCTTCTTATAAAAAGCTTGCTTTTAGAAAGTTGATATATGGATGAGTGTAGAGTACGGCATGATATTTATTGGCGGGCACTACAGTATTTTTAGTTGCTTGAAATTCAAAAAACAGTTTAAAAAAAATTTAAAATAAAAAAAAAGAATAATTGAAGCCTCTAATAAAAGCGCTGCTCCCACTTAGTCCCTTTACTTCTAAATTAAAGATTAAAGATAATACATGAACTTTGTTTACTTCAAAGAGAATTCTTCTAATTTTCGAATTAATGTTTACATCAAAAAGCAAGGACTTCAAAGCATATGTATTCCTTCCATACGTAAAGTTGATACAAACATAAATTTGCTTAAAGCTGTGCAAATTGAAATCATATCAATTTTGAAGGTTTTCTTGGCTATCCAGTGTCTTGTTTTTTGCATTTTAACTTGTCAATGTGTAACACTTAGCAGCAGAACAATGCTTCTTCGAATCGTCTTTATACTTTAAGTGTGCATTTATTCTAGTGGTACTAGTATGACCACTCAATACCCAGATATTTGAATGTCTTAAGCAATAAGTCGAGCGGATAGATAGTAGAAAAGTGTAGAGCTTTGATATGGATAAGCGTAGATGATAATACGTCCTGTACATTTCATTGTACGACCTTACGACGAAGACAAGTAGGAAGATTTCGTTTTTACGCCACACATTGGCGAACGCAAAATACTTTTCTAACATACATTTCTGCTGGGCATAATTGCATGATGCATATATATATTCAATATTATATATATATATTTTCTTTCAATTGTGTTTACTAACAAATATTTTTCTATGCCATTCGTACAAAACCCATAAATATAAAATAGAAGCATATAAACTTATGACATATGAAAACATATCAAAGTTACATATCAAAATAAACTTTTGTAAACAAAATAGGAAGGAAGAAAAAGGTAAAATATATGAAAAATCTAAAAAATGCTTTTTTCTCTTACAATATACATATTTATATAGAGCAATCAATTGAAAATCGCAGTCAACTTGTTCAATTTTTTTTTTTTTGGAAATTATTATATTAAAAGAAATTTTAATATGGTAAACATATTGAAAAATGCAAATTTTAGGTGAAATTAATAATTTCGAGCATTCATTTCCTTACGAGATCATTTATAAAATTACTTGCCTATGTTTAGTTGCAAAACAAATTATATTTTTCGTTGCTTACATTTGAAGGTAAAATTTTCATTGTTTTTGTAGTATGTCTTCCGGCGAAAAATTGCTGTTTTGAATAATAATTAATTAAAAGGAAACAAAGATGCTAAGACATATTTTTTTAAGCAATAACAATTCATATTAATCTTTATATAATAATAAATATTTAATAGAGAGAGATTTTTCGAGTATAACATAATTATATAATTTCTAGTAAATACATCTTAACGCGCAGATGAAAACGTAAAATCATTAAATATAATTGGATTCTAAGCAAAAAAAAAAAAAAAATAAGAAATTATTTTACAAGCTAAAATTATTAATTATTATTACGAGAGTGCGAGAGTATACTTGCATTCGTATCTATATGTATGTACGCTCTCACCAACTGTTATTCTTTAGCGAAATCCTAACCCACGTCATTGTCGTACACTGGATCAATATTGTGGATAAAATATTCGCACACACACAATCACACATTAATTGCAATATTGTAGCCATTTCGCTATTACCTAAAATACGCCATCGTTCCTACACCCACCCCTATATAACTATGTCGTAGCATAAGGCATGAATGAATGAAATTAGTGGGAAAGAGAAGTAGGCAACAAAACTCACTCAGCTATGAAAATATGAATGAATGAATGTAGAAAATGTGTGCAAAGAACAAATATAAAAACAACCCAAAGAAAATGAATGCGTAGGCTTTTGCAGCAAATGTTTTGTATACTATATGTCTGTGTGGAAAGCTTTTTGTAAAATTATTATGCCATGCATAAGCCATGCATAGATATACATATATATATATATGGTAATGTATATGTATAAATACAATAAAAACCTTCTCTCACGTTGCGGTAAGTAATTTGTTAAGCTTACAAATTGATTGTAATTTTAATTTTACATAATAATAAGCTTGGAAAGATGGATTTATGGCTGCACGTTCTATTTTTAAACGCATTTAAACTTTCATTCTTTTTATAGAAAATCGAAAAGTGCAATTTCTATTAGGAAAGTCAACAAGTTTTTTGCCGGTGCTTTAGTATTATTATTGTTATTATTATTAATTTAGCCAGAGAGCAATAAATTCTAAGACTACAGTTTTAAAAGCTCTTGCGTCGTGTCTAAGGCCGCACTTGAGATTCGAACCCACGACCATTGGATTGCTAGTCGAGATTCTCTGCCTTTGCGGCTAAGTGTTTTCGTAAAAGGGAATGTTTATGCTAGAAAAAGAAATGGCTTCAGATGTTGTTTTCTCTACACCACTTGTTGTACAAAGTGTATTAAGTTTGTGAGAATATATGTGTATAACGTCCACAAGTACTTAAGATAGATGCTCTGCTATACTGTTCAATTTAACTT